TTTCTATCAGGTCTTTTTGCTAGTGTGACAATTGCCAACTTTGGTGGAACAATAGCTGATCTCTGGCCAAGAGATCAAATAGGGCCAGCGATGAGTATTTTTCTCTGGGCCGCAGTATGTGGGAGTCCTTCCGGATATTTCTTGATGTCTTTCGTTGCACAAAGATATGGCTGGCGAGAAGTTTTCTGGGCTTTGCTAGGGATCTGTGGAGGATTCTGGTTGATACTCGTGGTGGTACTTCTTGTTTTCGGAAATGAGACGAGACGTTCAGTGATTCTGCGAAGACGTGCGAATCGACTGAATAAAGCTGCTGGAAGAATCGTCGCCACGGTACCTATGGAAATGCAGAGCAAGTCTCTGGGACAATTATTTAAAAACACCCTTTCTCGACCTTTCCGCTTTCTAGCAACAGAGCCCGTGATCATCTTTGCAGCGCTCTACAACGGTTTCTTGTACGGACTTTCATTTCTCTTCAACAGTGCTTTCAATCTCGTATTTGGCAAGATGGGTTATGGTTTCGGTATAGTTGGTGTTGGTCTTTGTTTTCTTGGACTTATCGTCGGCATCAGTTTGGGTCCGTTTATCAATATATGGCAAGAAAACCATTATCAGAAACGAATTCGTGCAGCCGGAACAAGGGAAACGCAATCTGAAGAGGAGCTTGATCCTGAAAGATTCAAGAATATACCAGAAGCACGAGTCCAACTGAGTAAACTTGCTGCTATTCTACTACCGATCAGTCTCTTCTGGTTCGCATGGACCTCACCACCTCAATATCATATTCACTGGATTGTACCCATACTTGCTACCACTTTATTTGGGTATTCTTTCTACACACTTATTTTGATGACTTATCTTTATGTTGAAGATAGCTACATGGTATTTTCAGCAAGTGCTTTAGCTGGCGTGGGATTGATACGAAATTTGGCCGGTGCAGGATTCCCTTTGTTTGGGAAACAGATGTTTCTGAATTTGGGATACAATTGGGCGGGGACAATATTAGCATGTTTAGCTGTGTTATTGGTTCCTATCCCTTTCATCCTGGAGAAATATGGCTATAGACTTAGAGCGAGGAGTTCGTTTGCGCGACAGCATATGGATAATTAAGATTATGGTGATGAGATGAGAATAGGGATATAGGGATGGATATAGACAGGAGCATGAGGATAGATGTCATTTTCATTTTTCAATATCAGTATGGATACGAAATTTCAAAGCATGCGCTCTTTCTATATTTGATTTCTCTTTTTCATTTACCAACACACATCAGCAGGCTCTTTTCATCCCTGCATTCATTGCTTTGTTTTGTTAATCGATGATGTGTAAGCATATTATCAACACCACCTAGGTACTCGAGCTCATCAGATTCGAGTTTCCCATCTCGATAATTCAGTCCTGTACGATCATATAATCTTAATTCCATCTCAATTATATGTTTGATCTACACGATAATAATCCTGTTGCGCGATCCATGATCCAGAATTTCTTGATCCCACTTGGAAAACTGGGTAGTCTCGGATTCAACAGCGAGATGGACGCATTATCAGCAGTCAATTCGATCGAGGTATACATAAAAACTATCTATATACAAAGTTATGTATAGATTGCTTTATGTCGAGAAAGTATCTGTGCTTGATATTACAGATGAATATCTCAATATCCATCTGCGGATATAGATGATGAGACCTGGACAAGAGGATTGAAAGAAGGGTGGAAAGATTTACGATGAAATTTTGAAATTTGATTTTATATTTAGTATCTAGACACTCGGAAAGCTGTATTGGGTCAAGTTTGAAAAGGTTCTTCATTCTGAAGGAATCCTCATACTTAGCTTTCTACTGAGTGTGTCTCGTCCAGGTGCGTCCGCCAAGCCCAGCTGCATCACTTCACCTAAGAGTCGGATCTGTAGCCACATACATCTGGCCATAAATATTCGATGTACCGATAGTACTTTTAGGGCATTCAAATTCCATACACCTTGTGCCGAAATATTCATTTCTGGCCTCAATCGCGATAGTGATAGATTAAGGCATGAGCTCTCATATATTACGATGAACACCGGGTCCTTCTTCACAACAGCCAGAACGCGAACTCCTGGTTCATCATAGTCAGTATCTTCGCTCAATCTGTATTGCTCGTGAAACTCCGGAAAACTCACACTGTTGATATCAACTTTAGCTTGGTCTCGAGCTATAGAACCATAGTCGTTGTTTTGTCGACAAAGGTTTGCATTTTTGTCAGTATCACATGTTGCATATAAAGTGGATAGAGACCTACTCATCTGTCTTGAGTAAGAACGACATAGCATTCTTTGCATAAGAATTATGCGATGTTTCCAATAGAATCCTCATGTTTTGATGGATTCGGAGGAGGAAGAAGTTCATCTAGAGCGTCGCAATTAGCGCTCATAAATCCATTTTGCTCCTCCTTAGAGATGCGAAAATGATGTTTGGTTTTGCAGTCTTCAATCATTCTAGGAGGACCGATGGATAGGCTGAGAAGATTATGGTTACGATAGACCTTTTTGTATCGCCTACATCGGTTAGTATTCCGGAATCTGGATGAAAATTAGCGACATACGGCATATGACGGTGAGTGGAAACTTACCAAATCCAACCACTCCTCCGTGAGATTCTAGCTTCGATTGTAGAAAAGAACCCACTTGATCCATCTGTTTAAGATCGACGGTTTAATCCTACTTTCAAGAAGATAGAAGTAATCTATTCAACTAATTAGTTGATCAATCCATACAAGCGAGATTCTCAATGACCTATCCATGAAACTTCGAGAATCGAATAGGGAGAGGCACTAGGAACTCCGCCACTACTCTTACCACTACTCTAATCAATCACTTTCCGATGATACTTCTCTGCATTCTCATCCCATTGAATGCCATACATTAAATAAAGTATGCAACTGAAGAGAAGGTGACGCCATCATCAATCCACATCCATCCAAACGATGAGCCACTTCATCAAAATCAATCTAGCCCGCAAAGCTTCCGCATAATGAACAAGTGTTATTTTCGAGTACTATACAAGATCTCAGGACGAAATTTAGTCAGTTCAGCCTTATCTAATGCCATGAGCATCTTTCGTCCAGGAAATTTGTGCTCCAAAATATAATCTTCTCATTGTTCGAGGAGCGATAGGACCAGAATCTCAAATCCAACATGAACAAATACCTTTACGTCTCATGCTCGCAACTCTGTTTACAGAATCCTTCAACTCTATTAATTCGCAAGGCGATATCATTTTGAAAAGGAGGACTTTGAATTTCTCACTAGATCTAGTATCACTTGAATGCCAGAGTAGCAGCCACAGTACTCGAACCATCAATCTTCAAGGTACAAACTACCCAACCAGCTTCTATCTAACATTTCCTTTTCGAGTAAATATTAAAAATAAGAGGGAGGGAACATGAGGATATGCTTTCCATCGCTATCAGATCTGGCTAGCATAGATAGCTATGCTAAATCGTATATCGAGGGAGAAAGAACCAATGAGTTTTTGATTCTCTAGTTTTCGGGCTAGTTGTCTGATTAACGCTTTGGAATCGTTGGTGATAGAGTGGAAAGGGGGGTTGATGATGTTTTGAGATGGGGTTTCGATTGGGTGTTGTGATTAGGACAAAATATCGGGTTTTAGAGTGTAGCTGTGTCAAAGTAGATGTCAGTTGGAAGTAGATATCATGGTTAAATCAGAAAGTCTTGGTGACTGCTTGAAAGTTGAAATACACCTCTGCTTGGAGAAACTGTAGGGGATTGTAAGTTTGTGGCTAGCAATATCGTACTATACATATATAGTATCATAATATCAAACATCACCATCTAATCCCCACAAGCCCATCGATTCCCCTCTCCAAACCATAAACACCTCACCTGCAGTTTCTCCCAGTTCCCCATTATAATCTCCATTTCAATTCATCTAATTCACCACCACGAACTACCATCATTTCCAGCTCCAAAATCGGGGACTCCCATGATCCATGAGCCTCGTAAATTACCTTCACAAATTCCCACATCTTTCACTTTCTCAAAAGTTTCAAGATTTTCATATCTCTATTTCTATCTCTATTTCTATCTCTATTTCTATCTCTATTTCTATCTCTATTTCTATCTCTATTTCTATCTCTATTTCTATCTCTATTTCTATCTCTATTTCTATCTCTATTTCTATTACTTCATCTCTATCTCACATCCAACTCCAAACTCTCCTCCCTCCCTCCCTCTCTCCCTACCCTAGCTTAAAAAAAAAGCAATTGCGCATCTGCGAGTTGATAATAAATCATCTAATAACACTAAGTTAATTATAATTTGTAATATCAAGGATACTTTTTATTATCATTATATTCAGATGCAGATGCAGATTCAGATTCAGATTCAGATTCAGATTCAGATTCAGATTCAGATTCAGATTCAGATTCAGATTCAGATTCAGATTCAGATTCAGATTCAGATTCAGATTCAGATTCAGATATGCAAATCCATATATAGGTACTATCTTGAATAGAAAGAATATATATGAGTGATCTTGGTGATTAATTCTATGTAGGTAAGTAGGTAGGTAGGTAGATAGGTAGGTAGTTAGTCTTTGTGATTGAAGTACTTAGTAGGTATTGGAAAGTATATGAGCGAATAAGTACCTAGTAAATAAGTGAATAAAACATCCACTCACCATCCATCCATCCATCTTTTCCCATCTTTTCGACTCCGCAAATCTTCAAGGATGGATCCAAAAAACTCCAGCTCATTGAGCTAAGAAGTAGTGAATATACAACTCTTATTAGCCTAATTTTCTCAAGAGCTTACCTTGAAGGTTTTCTATATTTTGAATCGAGAGTTGGAAGAGAATAACTTATAAGGTTACGACATCTTTCATATCCATCTTGAAAGCTCTCCATTTCAAATTTGAACTCGACAACTACAGACTTGGTTGGGTTTCTAGGAATATACTTTATACTTTATACTTACTGTTACGATGGGTTTTCTATCTCTCAATATGGATATGCCATCTCTCCTCGGAACCGATATCTGGATTCAAATGTTCACCATCAGCAGTCTCTCAATCCTCGTTTTGTTCCTCGTTAGTTTCCTATTCCCATTCCCAGAAAAAGAAGAAGAGAAAGCTACTCCTAACACCCCATCTAGTATTCCATCACTTCCACCCTCTACAACCTCACCCTCCACCCACTCACCCCCATCCCGGGTCCCCTCCTCTGGCGCGCCAACCGCCTCCCCTACATCCTCTCTCTCCTCCGCGGCAACCTCGTCATCGACATCCGCAGCCTCCATTCCCACTACGGCACCATCGTGCGCACCGCCCCAGACGAAGTATCCATCGCGCACGAAGACGTCTGGCACGATGTATTCAGCACTGTCGGGGGCCACACGCCCTTCCCTCGCGATCCGGTATTTTTCAAATCCCCCCTCCCCGGACAGGCGGAAAATCTCATCACGACGGTGGATGCAGAGATTAGCATGCGTATGCGCCAGATAATCGGACCGGCGTTTACGGATCGCGCGGTGGCGAGACAGGAACCGGTTTGCAGAGGTATGTTTCATTAATGGTGGGCAAGATGCGCGCGGAGATGCAGAGACCGGAAAAATGCGCGCATGGGCGCGCGCATCAATGTGGTGGATTGGATGAATTGGTGGTCCTTTGATGTTATTGGGATGTGGCGTTGGGAGAATCGTTTTGATTGCTTGAAGGAGACGGCGAATCATCCGTGGGCGGTCTTGATTTTTAATGCGATTAAGAGTAAGTTCTCACTCATATCTCGTTCCCGATCATCCAGTCAAAACTCAAAACATCAATACTCGGGAGCGAGTGCGATTGCTATTACCATTGCTAATATGAACAGTGATGGCCCTCGCAGCCGTCACCCAATATTTCCCCGGTCTCGACTCGCTCATCCTCAAACTGCTTCCCGCCAGCACGCGCAAAATGCAAGAAGATCACTTTGCGTACGCCGCGGAGAAAATCTATCGCCGTCTGCAGCGTCCCGAATCGGCAGAAGGAGATTTCATGACGGTCATGCTTGATCCGAAGAACAATCCCGAGTTTTCCAAAATGAGCATGCCTGAGATCGAAAGCACAACTGCTCTCTTACTGCTCGGAGGGAGCGAGACGACGGGTACTACGATTTGTGGAATCCTCAACTGTTTAGTGCAAAATCCGCAGGAGCTTGGGAAATTGGAAGCGGAAGTTCGCACGATTTTTGAAAAGGAAGAGGATATTACGCTGAGTGCTCTTCAGCAATTACCATTTCTGAACGCGGTAGTGAACGAAGGTTTACGATTCTGCAATCCCGTTTCGGGAGGACTTCTTCGGGTCGTTCCTCGTGGCGGCGCAACTGTTTGCGGATACTTTCTCCCTGAAGGCGTGAGCATTCTTGTCTTTTCTTGTCTCACCTTCCCTCACCCTCCCCAAACTCTCCATCCATATCCATCCATCCATCCATACTAACCCCCCATCTCCCCTAGACCCACATCCAATGCAACACCATCGCCATGGCCCTCAGCGACCACAATTTCCACCACAGTCTCCAATTCCTCCCCGATCGGTTCCTGCCCGCCCACCTCCGCCCCGCGAATACGCCCACGATAATCGCCACATCCTGAAACCGTGGGGCTTAGGTTCGCGCGTGTGTTTGGGACGATCCTTCGGACAGGCAGAAGTGCGCTTGGTGCTCGCGCGCCTGCTGTGGAATTTCGATCTGCAGAGCGCGGCGGGGAAGGGCGTGGATTGGTTGGCGCTGAAGAATTATATCGTGTGCAGAAGGAACCGATTTGGGTTACCATTAGGGAGAGGGAAAAGATGTGAGGTGAGGTGATGTGGGGAGCGAGTTTCGGATGGGATAATATGCTTTGGGTCTGAAGGTGCAGATTGGGAGATGGTGCGATAGACTGGTATGCTGCAGCATGTCGGGAGGCTCTTTTTTAAAGACCTTAATTGTCTCGGTCTAGGGCATTTTTCTCTCCACTGATGAGGATTGTGGACTTCTTTGGTGGTATTTAGATGCATAGCAATTCTTATGTTCATGTCTAGACAAAACTAGTCAGCTAAATAGATCATGATCCCATATTTCCGTATTCCAAAAGAGTGACATCACATTATATCACATCACTTTACCGACCCCCTACCAAATAACAATCTTTCCTTAAAGATTCATATGTATGTTCACATTTTCTACTAAATGATACTTGAAAAAAAAGGTAGCCACCTAGCAGCCCCCTATGCCTAAACTATGTGTGTAACCAAAACCGCCGACCCCAACCCCTTCGCCCATCCATTCCCATCAATTCACCTTGATATTTATTTTTCCACTGTACTTTCTCTAGTAAGTCGACAAACAACAAATCAACCATTCGTTTAACCATTTCATAACAAGTCGTGCAGCCATTACTCTTAAATCGCGTTCTCTCCAATACCACCCAACCTACTCCTTAAATCTCCAATGTAATCTTGTTGTTGTTGTTGCTCCATCTTTGCCGCCACAAGCGCAATCAATGCGGCGCCGACACCAGATCCATCCTTGGCGATACCAATTCTGATTCTTCTCTCGCCGGCAGCTCCAATACCATCCATAGCTCTCAAAGCTTCTCTCATATGATCCTCGAATCCTGGGTAGAACTCAACAAGAGAACCGTCCACACCAATATCGATAACGTCTTCCTCGTTGACAGCTAAGCCTGCTGTGTCAGCGAGTTTGTTGGCAGTAGCTGATGCTGCATCGGCAATCTTCAAATCCTTGACATCTTGAATGATGGCAGCTGTTGATTTTGGTCCAGGGGCATCAGATTTGATATCGAGACGACCAGTTTGGAGAACAATGGCACCAATTGCAACAGCGGCTAAACGAGCTGCACGTTTACCAATAGCATGGGCGATTTCCTTGACGGTTTGAGCATCTTCCAATGACGCAGCTGAGACACCGAGAGACTTCTCAAGTTCTTGACGAAGGGCGCGAAGACCAACGCTGTTGTCAGCTTCCGCAATCGAGAGGATAGAACTATCGACGGCCCATTGCTTGTAAAGAGGACCGGCTTCATCGACTGTAGTTGTTGAGCAATAGTCGTTATCTGCGGAAGATTGGTCTCTGAAAAGTGGAATGGTAGGGCTCTTGATCAATTGAACGAGAACAGTTCTGAGAATTTCACCCAAGAACATGCCAGAAACTCGCTTTTCGAACATTTGAATACCAGGGTTGACACTGTCCTTATCAAGGATTTGATCGTAAATGGTATTTGGCAAAACTTTGAGACCATTGTCGAACGAGCCCCATTCTGTGTTGACAACCATTTCACCAGTTGTCTTATCAAAATCTCCTTCCATAGGCTTGGTCAACTTCTCGAGCTTCTCAACATAAGCACCATTGGTACCAGTACCAAAAATTGCTCCGAGTAAGGTCCGAGTCTTTCCAGGTGAGGTATATGCTCTTGCCATCAATGTTCCGACTGTATCGTTTACAAGAGCAGCGACCTTCACTGGCAAGTGCAGTTTATCAATCTCCTTTTGTAGCAATTCACAAACATCTTGTCCAACCGCATCCGCAATATCGAAGCCCTTTGTCCATCGAATCAGAGTTCCTCTGTTGATACCAATTTGGTGAACTGGGAAACTGAACGTGAATCCAAGTCTAAAGATATGTTCATCTCTGAAACCTTCTGGAGTGCTGACAGTATTGCGACGTCTGATGTGGGCCGCGAAATGGTCCTCGTGATGGGTCTTGAGGAAAAGTTCGATTTGTTTTGCCAAAAATGAAAAAAGGTCCGATGCGGTCTTAGCCAACATCAACTCCCGGGGTATCGCAACCTTTGATTGTGTAAGACTGAATGTGGTATCTCCGTGCAATTGAATTGAGCAAACTCGGAAATTGGTTCCTCCAAGATCGACCGCTAGATATAGTCCCTATTGATTCATCAGCTTTGTGCATAGGAAATGCGGGGTCTCCTTCTCCTACCTTTTCCGTTCCATTAGGAACTCCAGTCACGTATGTTGGAATTTGGCTCATGTTGGTTGCATTCTTTTCCAATCCCTCATCTATGCAGACGTTAATTTCAATCCATAAACTGGTTGGCAGATTTACATACTCATCTCCGCGACAAATTCAGCAACACCTCGTCGCACATCCTCGTCTGTGTATTCAAACTCGGCGGCAACGCGCTTTGATTCTGCTAACAAAGACATTTTGTGTGGTCTTGAAATTGGCGCTTCTGTAGGAAATGGATGTGGTGATTCGCAAGTTCCCTGATCCAAAACGTTGGCTCTAGGAGAGTACGATGTTGGTGAATAGGGATGGAGAGATGCCGAATAAAGCGGAGGGGTATCAGTGAATAAGAATTGGACAATCTACGTATAAGAATTAGTAACAACCAACAGAATGCAATAATGGCTCGTGATCGATTTACCAAGGCAATAACCACAAAGGTCACGGAGGCTAAATGGATGAGGCTGATTGGATTTGGTCTCGAGACTTTGTGAGGTTTAAATAGGTTGGATTCTTTAAAGGATGTCGGTGTTGGATTCGTTGATTGAGAAGGAGGTTTGGAAGAAAAGAAGTGAGCAAAAATAGAAGAAGAAGGAACAGAAGATTGAGAATATAAATCGGAAGTGAAAGGAATCTTCTTCTGTTTAGAATTGAAGTTGGTGGGCGGGTCGCCCTTTCCAATTGAGGACGTAATTTTGGTTAGGATGGGGGAGTTTATGGCCAACTTGGCGGGAGGCGGGGCAATTCAGAATCTCAGATATCTCGATTACACGCTCGTAACACAACCAAAGCCTGGGAAACTTTGGAGGGGCAGAGTTGGGAGTCGGGACCCAAGATATCTCCACTTATCTGTGAGGGATTGGATGATTCGATTGGTTAAAATCAATAAGGCCCTCTCCAAAAAAGGGCCGTCTAATGCGGTGCTAGTTGTGTTACTTTGAACCTCTTCCTCCAAGGAACAAAGGAAGAAAGGAAAAAAAATGCACTCGAGGTGGGAAGGGAAGGGGGGGGTGAAAATGATGATGATGATGATGCTGTTTCTTTAGAAAAACCCTCCTGGAAAAGGATTAGTTCAAACTCCAAGGGGTTGACAAGTCAGAGTCTCAATTCATGAATGGTCAAAGGTAGATAGATAGATGCGTATAATGTATCGAGCAGTGAGAGAGAGAGAAAGCATTCGATGCATTAACAAGCAAGAGTCGATATAATTGGATCTTGGATCGGTACGAGTGTGGTGGGTAGGCAGGTAGGTATGGATGGATGGCTATTTGATATATTAATTCGATCGTATTATCGTGTGATCGGTAGTCAGATTTGGATGAATGCTGCAGATAGATTTGATGGATATCTGTCGAACTAGAAGAGTGTATTGTCTGTATGCATGTACTCTCGTGCAGTAAGTAGACAGATGGCAATGCCGAGTATGATAAAGATTTCGTAATGAAAGTTTTGTTCTCTTGTGCTCTCTTGTGCTCTCCCTCTCTCGTGTCTGGGAACCCCAAATGATGGTGGAGGTAGTGGATGCGATGCAATTGAATGGTCCTTCCTTGCTTTTTTTTAATGAGGAGAGAAGAATGATGGAGTCTCCGAGATTTCGCGGAGAATAGAATCTTGCTTGCAGACAGTGGGAGAATCCGTTGTTCTTCCGTTCGTGGAGAAGAAAAAAGTTTGAAAATTCGTTGAATGGTATAGAAGTATGGTGACGTCGTAGTATGCAGTCGATACCTCAAGAATGGAGAGAGAAAAATCAGAGACACGAATGGGGAAGCTTGATTGATGCAGGGGAAGAAGGGAAGCTGCTTTTCTCCCTCGGTCAAATGATATCTCGGATTAGTATTGGACAGCTGTTGATATCGATATCATAGAAGTTCGAGACCTTTTGCCATGCGCATCGACCCCTTCATTACCATCGCCAAAGAAAGATTATGATGTTTTCTTCAAATCGTAACGGTCCGCAGTGTCCCCTGTATATAGTTTCTCGTCTTGATTTCGATTTCGATTCTGATTCTGATTTTCTTCTTCGCTTTCCTTTATATCATCAGGACTGCTCGTAGATTTGGCTGATCGATCGAATACAAGTGGCTGGTATGATGGTGACTTCTCAAGTTTCGGTTGTGCTGTAACGTGTACATGAACATTAACCACCACGTTTGGATGAAACGAAAGGATATGTACAGAAACGTATTTCAAGATGATTCCTATACACATTTGAAATGAATGCTACTGGCACTTGTGCTTTAAAGATTAAAATGGAGTTTACTACATATACAATTTTACATTTTCTCGCTGAGGATGCACCGGAGCAGTTAAGTATGAAAGATGGGGAAGTTTGCTGAGGACGTGCCTCCATTCACACCTGGACGGAACATCAGAGCTCAGATTCAGGTGTATGGAATCTGTCGCATCTGTCAACTGGTTCACGAAGTTCCCCAGGAATTCATCAGAAATATGATGTAACTTTGTTTCATCAATACAT